CGCACCGCTGCGGCCATCAATGCAAGTTCTGATTTCCTGGACTCCTGGACTTCTCCATAACTTCATCATGAAATGTGGTTCAAGATGAAGTGGGTATTCTCCTGTCTTGGGCTTGTTTGGGTTTGGCACATTTGGGCTGAACAATTGCCACAACCTGAGAAGGTACCAAAAAACATGACTACAAAAACGAAAAAATCTGGAGGTCCTCAGGACAAAGAGACAAAGACCTACACATTATTTATTTCGTGTATTTTTCCAGGTTTTGGAAATATTTTGATCGGAATCTCGCCAAAGCATGCACAGGTACCTGCTTAAAACCCTTCTATTTCCAGAGACCCACAGCCGCCAAATTCAAAATGATTCCCGGAGAGTAGGTTGAGGAGAGCGCAGCCGCTTTGGAAGCTTCAGAGCAGTTTGTAGGGACAGTGCGGAACATGTTCAGGGACAGTAAGGCACTTGTGCTCTTTGGAACAGAAAAATACGCTACTGTCCCCAAGTTCTAGTCTCACCAAAAGCAACGTTTGGGGACAGTGCCGGGTCTGTTTCGGAACCATAGAAAGTCCTGTACCGTCCATACAAAATCAAAAATTTTGGCTCCATGCAAAAAAATTAGGATAGTACAGCTACAGCACAACACTTCTGAGCCTCGCAGAACAAAAGCGCCGTGCCATGCCTGAAAGTCTGCTCTTGAGTAAGAAAATGGTGTGACCACCTGAAAAACATTCTAAACTCAATGTTTTGGTCCGTCCATGCTAAAGCTCATAAGCAGTTTGGTGCTTCTTGCTTTATATGATAACGAATTGCGACAACATTTTGATTGCGCAAATTACTAAGGAAAGGAATTAAACAACAAGTAAACAGCACCTTCAAATCTTTTTGAAAGGCAAAGCACGCTGGAATTTACGGCGTGTGCTCCACATGGAAGATCTGAGACAAAAGGTCACCAGAACCGTTCGTCACATTGAAAAGGACTGGGCGTGGATCATGGTAGGTGCAGGACCATAGAAACACACATATATGTCCTCTGTAATATTTTATACAGGTGCCATATTCGGGGCATTTATCATTAGGGAGCGGGGGGTTCCTGTTAACCCAAACCCTAAATTAGCTAGTAGTATTCCCCTACAAAGCCCCTGAGCTTTCGGAGGAGGGGATTATGAGTTAACCCCATTTTCCCAAGCTAGCGGGCTAGACCGGGTGACAGAAACTCACCCCCAGCCATATGGGCATTTCCATAAACTCGGGGTCCCTTTTTGGGGTCCCCATAGCAAGGATTACGAAAGAATGGGCGTACCCCAAGTTGTGGAAACCACCAGCGCGTACTGCAAGGCATTGCTCGAGAAAGCTCAACGTTGGTTTCTGAGTAACTGGGCGTCATGTTCTCCAAGACGCGGGTCATGGCCTCCCGTCGAGCCTGGACGAAGCTTTGCTTGAACATCAGCCAGGTGGGAAACTTGTCAGATTTGATGTGACACCGCAACTCTGGCAATTTGCTGGTGCACCTCGCTTCTTGTCTTCATGGAGCGCGAGAATGCCTAGGCCAATGCCAGGTAGAGGAGTGGACGCCCTCTACTTCACTTCCATCCTTGCTGAGGCAAAGGCCATGTCCTTCAAAGCCAGTCCCACAGCCTTGTGCGGTTGGTCACCGCCTCAGACGGGTATCTCAAAATGCAAAGTTGCCGTCGCTGATCAGCATGGTGCGGAAGGCAACTCACTCACCACGGAACGGCGCTGTAGCACTTTCTTCATAGCGCTCCGCCCTCCTCTGCCTTAACTCCTCCTGCGCTGGAATTTTGACTGGGTTGCATCGTGCACGACTCTTTGGGCGATTATTGCGTAGGATGGAGGGGATGCCTCAGGAGTCCTTACTCTGCGCGCCGGCTAGCATCTAATTTCGAGCCTCTGCTGGACATCTGGGTAGAAGTGGGGGTCCCCCTCTCCGATTTCTACCCCGCCGGGTACCATACTTCTAACCTTAAATCCCTCCCAAGCAGAAACCTAAAATTCCCGAAAGCCCAACATAAGTCTGGGATAGTTCAGCTCTGGAGGATGCCTGAGATCTGCACAACCAGCGATCTCACCTGCTGGATCTACCTTGGCTGATAGACCCCCTTTCACGAGAACCCGCTGAAAGTTAGGAGTCGCCTTAGGCTCTTTGCTTCCACCTACAAGCCCAAATATAGCGCAAACTTCACCTCAAGTCTGAGCTCATGGCAATGACTGTGGGTCGGGTTTTGGACATGGTGGCGGCCTCAGAGTCTGACAGCTGGTCAGGCATATCTCCCGAAAAAAAATGAAGAGACGCAACAGCTGAGGGGCGCGCGCAAGCGCGCAGCAAGGTCGTCTTGCCAACCTAAGTAGCACTTGACTTCACAGCCGAAGCCTTCAAGCACGCCTTATGCAAGCTGACCCCTAAGCCCCAAAACCAGAAACAAAAGAAGCGCAACTTCCCATTGTACATCATTTGGTCTTGACAAAAGCTGCGTGTGTGGCATGGTTGCGTCATGCGCACGAATTGACTAAGAGCTAGCGCGATCCATGCATCTGGCTACCTCAACGCCGAGGTACAGGTCTCCAGTCCCAGGGATCTTGCGCAAGCAGGTTACATGGACCAAGGGAAGAGATTCTGCATGTGCTGCTTCAATTCAGACCGACTGTTGAGGAAGTCTTTCTTGCACAACCCGGAGTGGAAAAAAACAGTAGTTTAGTGACATTGAGTGGTGCAAGATTTCCTGCCTCAACAGTACCTCATCTCCTTCCCTGCTCCGAAGCACAGCTTAAGAGTTAAAAAAAATCGGTGAGCTCTGTCCCCGACTGCAACCTTGGCCATCCAAACATCCAAGGGCGTGCTCTTTTGCTGTGCAGACGTCACGACAGATGCCCCAGAAGCCGTTTGTGCCGTTTACGACCTCCATGCCAGCGATTTTGGGTGCAACTCTGTAAAAACCCTCGCAACAACATCAAAACACCGGCAGGGAAGAAGCCCTCGACCGCGTCCTTTTAAAAGCCCCAAGGGGCTCGGGACGTCGCACGAGGACGGCGGCTTCTCGGCTTCCGGATCTTGAAGCATCCGTGGGACAAGAAGAGATAGCGAAAACTGAGGAGCCGTTGGTATATTACGTGTGGAAATTCTTAGTGTTGTATGCCCACTTGCGGCATAAGCATGCACAAACCCGTCTCGCACACAAACACATACTCCAGATTGATGGCAATGGCTGTCACAGTGTCGACATTCATCACATCTACAAACCAAGCTTCGGAAATGCTGAAGATAAAGAGATTGCTTGGCCTCATTTTTAAATGACCTCTTCTGCAGTAAGCAGGGCAATTGAACAACCATTAGACTGTCACTATCCCTCCGGCTTGTGCAGTTGAATTATGCAGGTTCTGCGGCACTTCGGGCCCCATCCTTCTTTCCAACTCCAAACCTGTGGATTTCCTCTTTGGGGGTTTAAGGTCTCCCCAACTGGACACCCAGTATGTACACTGACCGATGTTCCTCAGGAACCCCTATATACGCTCGCGCAAAACCACAATGACAACCCTGCTTCATGTATCCATTATCCCGATTACCCACAAACTACATAATCACATGTTTCCTTTCGATGGTCTGCAGGCAGAAGCCTTTGCATAGCGCACTGTCAATGAATCCAGAAGTGTGCTGTCCGCCATTCGCGCTCACGGACTGGGCAGCCTAGAGGGAGCATGTGCCACAGGGTTGCTTTAAGAAGGCTCATTACGTATACCCTTGTTGGGTCTTTATTGGCGGCCCTTATTTATGGATCCCCCCCATGTCACATGTCCACCTGCCCCCTACCCCGTGACAGATTCAACGGTAATGAACAGCCGAGCTCGTCAGGCGCCACCCACTTTGAGGTTCACCGGCGAGCCTTCCGGGGCCTCGGCAGCAAAATGCTGTTCTAAGGTCTGTGGGTGGCTGCCCCTTAGGGCACTCGGCGTCGTGCTTCGTGCTTCAGGGTTATATGTTCGGCTGCATTCAGTCTGCTGTGCTGTGGTAAGTTGTTCAAGGCAGCTTCGAGGGCTGTGCTCCAGAAGATGGCGGCACTAAAATGCAGGATAAGAAGCGACATCCTTGAAGTGCTCGTTTCGCATCAGCATTGGCACCGTGTCATTGCCTTTGATAAGCGCCTCGAGCAGAAGGTCTCTGCCACCAATGTGGGCTGCGACAGTCTCTGCATGAAGCTCCTCCTGTGCTGCCAACAAGGGGCGGCATCTCCATCAAAGTCCTCGATTGAAACCTCGTATGCCAGGACTGACTGGCGGGGATCATCCAAACACTTCAGTACTCAGTCAGGCGCATGGAAAGTTCTACCACACGTGACTTGGTCATGCGCCTGCTCGTCCACCGTCTCAACCTTCAGCCCATGTGGCTCGTTGTTGACGGAAATGCGCCCAAGGTTTGGGACCTGCTAGCTGCTAGCTGAGTCACAATAACGCAGCTCTCCTGCTTTGAGCTTTTCAGAATGCAGCCAGGTCACCAGGATCTTCTTAGCTGTATGCAGACCTGTGCGGATGAAGATCGTGGCGCGGGGCTCCACAAGGTAGCCGGACCTGATCCATGTGGATGCGGAGCCTCCCTGTTCGACTATTGGTGTCTCTCCGCACTACAGGAAATGTCGAGGTTCTGCAAACTCGGAGCCCGTCGTAGAGAACTCCAAGAACTCTAGGGATATCACAGGATTACAATGGCCTCCTTATGGAGTTTTGCATGGGGATTGTGAAAGCATTGGTTTCTAAGACACAGCCACGCACCTTTGATAGTCTCACAGTTGCAAGGCCTGAACCCTCCACTGGCGTGCATGCATAGGTTGGGCCGAGGAACATGATTGCGTGCTCCCCAGGTGGAACCTGACCCGCATGCTGGCAAAGGATCTCAGCGCAACTGCAGCACATGGACTAACTACCAAATCTCCTTCCTGAATGCTGATGCTTCCACTTCTGCTTCTTCTGTTTGAGCAGATAATCCTCCTCCTCCTCCTCATCCTCCCTCTCCCCCTCCTCGTCCTGCACCCTTCCCTTTTCGACCTGCTGCTGCTCCCCCACAAACATTGCACCTATGGTTCGGAAGCTCAGACCCTCAGGCTACTTCGAATGCGAATTATAATTTCATTGCAGCAACTTTAAATTGCAGCGCCCACCTGATGTTCAATGCCGTTGGCGGGGGTCGCATCACCATGGTGTTGAGCCTCCCGGGGGATAATGGAAAATGAAATGGATCTTGGGGTTAATGCCAGCTATCTTGGGGTTAATGCCAGCTCATGCTTATTCCGTTGGTAGCAGCTGTTGTGTTTGTGGTATGGGTCGTTTAGACATCGCCTCTTGCTATCTTCGGCTAGTCAGATCTCTAAATAGCGAACATGCACTTTTGCCAGCCAGCTCACGGCCGGTAGGATGAACATCAACAGCTCCTGGCCATAACATTTGCAATTATCGGGCAGCACGGTAGTCATATGAGAGGTTCCATAAATCCCAGGCCCCAGTGTAATCTCATCCTTATTGGACAATGGCATGTCTGGGCTGCTAGCGCCATCCTCTCGAATCGGACATGCTAGACTTCCAAGATCCACAGCCCCATGTCGGAGGTCCCCCATCCCTTCAACAAGGTCACTCTCGAAGTCCTTAGGCAATGACCAGAGGACCTTCAACAAAGCCATCCTCTGGGGTGTTTGTCCTCCTGCCTCGATGACCAGGAGAGGGGTCTGCATGTTGTTCACGACAATGATCTCTGTGGTGAACGGGCTCACGTCCCGAACCTGGGCGGAGAATGCGAAAATCCAACCCGGCATCATGTGGTCTTGTCCATAAATACTGGGACCTCAATATTGGCCTCAAAATACTGTAATGCTTTTATAAGGGCCCTCCAAAAGGTACCCCTCATTGTGGGAAACCCCATGTCAAACATTGAGCCAACATGCCGTCAAGCAGCTGTCTCGCAGTGCAGATGCGATCCGGAAAGGCCCATGGCTGTAAAGCTTGGTGGATACCAACCAAGGGCAAGGAAAGGTCGGTCGCTACTGCGAATGCTACGCTCACAACTGCACGCGGCTGCAAAAACTCATGGTTGTCAAGCTGCCTTCCGCTTCCTGCATGCTGTGAGAGCAACCCAAAGTTTAAAAACTACTTGCAGACAAGGGAAGGGGTCAATCCAGAAGTTCATTAAGCGGTTAGAGACAATCTACGCCCAAATACAAGGCCATCCTGCTGACGCGAATCTTGCAAATAAGTTTACGGCTATCGGGGTAGGAGGAGCCAAGCACAGGCCCGCCAAAATGCCAAAATGGCACAGTCAGCCGATTACTTGTTCGTTCGCTGGGTAGCATAAACGCTTGCAATGTTGGTTAGGAAGCTTCTGTGCTAATTGGACTCAGGCCCGCACTCCAGGAGGTCCCAACATGAGGATGGACTTGGAATCAAGCAGGATATCCTGTCAGTTCGGACCCTGTCAGCTGCACGAGCATCACCGCTGCTCTTGCTTTAACCCTTATAATTGCTCCTCAGAGGACCTCTAAAGCGCGCCTGGGACAAGGGCCGGAATCTTCCGAGTACTGTAGGGGTAGTATCCCAGCACTGATGTGTAAGTGCAGGCTCCCTGGCGCCCTTTGTGTTGAGGGGTGGTCCAAAGATCCAAACACGGCGACCTTTATTCAGAATTTGATTTTGTGGGATGGTCTGTCCCAGAATCACAGCTGCATCTTAATATAAGGGATCTTATATGCCTTTCGGGGTTATGAAACGAAGGCTAATAAGAGCATTTTGGTAAAGTGCAACCCCTAGATAGTGTCGGTAAACACTTGCGGCTTGCCCGCGCCCACGGGCCCGAAGCATGCAGGAAGCCTCAAAACTCCTGTCCCTGCCAACGTTTTCGAGACAATGAGGCTAACATCAGGCTGCTGAGTTGCTACGCCAGAGGGGGCCCGCAATGCCAAAATTAGGAGCCTCACAGTGCTTGGCAGCACGCCGGTGAACCTGAAAACTTATAGGTTTGTTCATATCCTTCCATGTTTTACAAGTGGGGGCCGCCCAAGCCCAAGAACATCTTCGTCCATATTTTGCAAATGGCAAGCACTATGCATGACCAAGTCCATGAACATCTTCTTCCATACTTTGCACATCGGGGGCTGCGCGCCCCCGCCCCCCACCTCCCCCGTGCTATTTTTCTTAGCGAACACAATGCCTGGCCAAGTCCATGAACCTCTTCCTTTGCCGACGGCTTAGCTGATGGCTGCGAACTACGTCATCAGATCAACAGACAGTAGAGAGGCAAGCCACGCGTGCTTTGCGTAGAATGAGGCTCAAGGAATGCGATTTGGGTTACCAAGTTCCTCTCTGTAAAGGCCCCTCCTTCACAGTAAGGTTACAAAAAGATCCAAATGTTCGGCTCCGAACTCCACAACCCCGCATCTTAAAGAAAACTGCAATCACACGCAGCAAGCAGCCCTAACGACAACTGAGAGGACGTACTCTAGCCACGACAAACCCCTTATAAGGAAACCCTATATCCCCCTAAACCCCAAATCCTCCCAAACCCTACACCCAAACCCTATACCTTAACCCTTTTGCAGCGGGGCTTTCTGAGGTCCTGGCCAGCACTGCACTTCTACATCAGCACTTATAATATTACCCCAGTAACAATGGAGAATAGGGTTTAGGGTTTGGGGTTTGAAAAGATGGAACATGAAATGAACCATGAAATGGACACTCTAGGTCCCTTTTAAAGGGGCATATAGGGTTCAGGGTTAAGGGATATTACGCACAATAGTGTAGACACAAAGGGAAAAGATTATGCAGGGGTAACATTTGTGTTATACAGGAACAATGGAAAAGAACATGGAACATGAAATGGAAGCTGAGGCATCTGAGCTATAGTCTTAACTCCTAGCATCCCCCCTAATAAGCCCTATAGCAGTCCCCTCTATAAGCCCTGATGTAACCCTTTTAAGGAATGTAGACTATGGCTGATATGCTAGTACTATTGTTAGTATTATTACCCAAACCCTTTATCCTAGAGTCTGACAGAAGCCCCAAACGCTTTACCCTGAGGCTCCTCCAGGAGTCCAGCAATTATCGCAGAGGCTCGACCTGGGTGGTTACAGCCATTTTTGGGGAGTAACCACCTCGCCCTTTTCTTCAAACACCTACCCCCCCAATATGGGATATTCCCATTGCGGTACACTCTGATCTAGTGCAAATATTTCAAACTAGGGGGTGGAGGGTTTTACTATTAGGGGGATGGATTACATGGTCCCAGATTACTTGTATGCACTGTGGGGTTCATATAGGGGAATGGAAAAGGAATTAAAGCCGAAGAGAACCTGGAACGTGAAATGCAAACTGTAAATTTATGGGTAATGATACGTTTTCGGGGTTCTCAAAACATGGGTGCTCTGGCGACTCTCCCCTCAAGTGTGTGGAGACTACAAGAGAGCCGTAAGATCCCAAACACCACTAAGGTGCTGTTGCTAGATTTTGAGGCACAGCTGGATAGGCTGCGGGCACAACTGAAACTTCAACCAGCCAACAAGTGCTGTTAACGTGATGGCTAGCTGCTCTCAAGGCGGGAAAAGAGATGGCAGCATCAACCGGCCACCAGGTTCTACTGACGTGATGGCTAGTTTCTTAGAAGGAAGGAAATCACACAAGGGTCGCAACTTTAGTAACCCACTCAACAACTACTACAGTAACCTGCGCCAATAGCTGATGCACTGAGCAAGCTCGAGTCACAATGACCAGGATTTCATGGGCGCAACTGTCGTACACCACATCATCCATACAGAAGGACAAAGCCAAGATAGGGTGCTCAAAACGAAGCCGGTGAATATGCAACAGCAGGAACAGAATGATGTGGCGAAAACTTGGTCTTGAGGCTGCTGCTGCTGCTGCTGCTGCTGCTGCTGCTGCTACGGCCACGGCAGTGGCTACTGCTACTGTTGCTGCTACGACAACGACGACTACGACTACGACTACTGCTGCTGCTACTAGCAGCAGCAATAGTAAGGCAGGGAAAATTCTACAGTAGCAATGCTAGTTACACATGTTACGTTGAGGAGCTGCTCACAGGCACCAGCGCCAGAAGCCGATTTTATGCAGAATGTCAAGTCAGGTCAAGTGAGACGGGCCTATCTACCGACTCTATGTCTTACAAGTAGCAACAAAGGACAAATGTCTAAAAACACCTCGGGAGCCTACAGCCGGAGCCTGCATGCGCAAATTCTTTCTCCAAAGCCCCTTGTAGATATTCAGAACGCGAGTTGTCACGGTCCCAGAATCCAAGCTGACGGCCAACTCGCATGACCAGCGTGACCTTGGACGCATTTGTGCGTCAAGCTTGCCAAGCTGTCATGCGCTAGTCATGAACACTATATCCCCAATATAGCCCCTATATAACCCCAGTTTCCAGTTCATTTTCCATTTTCGTTTCCACTTGATTCTCCATTATTGGGGTATATACCCAAGTAAAATACTACTCATGTTGCTTCTGCTTCGTAAGCGCGTGTATGTAGTAAGTCCTTGCGCGATACTACTGTTGCTACTTCAGGGCACACTTCGAGTCGAGTCTCCAAAAGGAACCTCAAGTGTAACAATTGGCGACAAGCGCAATTGCACCCTGGAACCGAAAGCCACGATGTTTGAGTCCAGAGCAACTTCACCGGACTGGTTGCGGGCAGCGGAGATCCGATGCCTGAGGTTTCATGAGTCTGCAGTCTGCAGGTTGATGCCCTCGGGGGGTTTTCATGTCTGAATTCTGTGCTAGAAGGCATTCTGATCCCTTGAGGGCTCAACAATGTCCCATCGATGCCGGCGCGGTCCTGAACTAGGAATGAAGGCCGGGCGAATCCAGCATGATAGATATAACCCTAAAATATGATTCCATATTAACGGGAATATTCACTTAGGGTTTAGGGCTTCAAGCTCATTGTTGGGGGGAGGGTAATTAATCACTTTCTCAGAGGAGCCCCCTTCTATATTAAAGGGAATATTCACTTAGGGTTTAGGGCTTCAAGCTCATTGTCATGGGCGTTTCAACAATACTTTCCTGCAGTATCGTACCGAACGGTACCGGTACCGTACCGAACCGCGCTTGTTTGGTGGCACCGAACCGAACCGTTTCCCCTCCACCCGCCCCTCCTGGAGGGTGAGATCA